TAGGCAAGATTTTTGATAAAAATTTAAAATTTTGAAAAATGATGAGAAAAGGAAAAAAAAGGTAAATGAGAGCAAGAGGAGGGAAAAAAAAGAAAAAGAAAAGAAAGGGAAGGGAAAAATAAAAGAAAGAAGGACATATAAAAATTTAGATGCGCATTCTTAATGCCGAGGCGGCTTGCCGCCGAGGCGCGATTTTTTTAGGCCTCTACGGTAACCCGGCAATGTTTTTTTAAATCTTGTACAGCCCTATCTTTGATTATGACTCCATTGATTCCATGAAATTAAATATTCTTTATCATTATATTTATACCTCATTAGCTTATTTTGGCTTTCATATTCATTTAATAATTCACAATCTTCATTTTTAAATTGAAGTTTAACCCATTCAGGATTTAAACAATGTTTAATTAATCGCGGAATATCTGACATCATCTATATATAGCTTCCCTTTAAATCTTTGAATATAAACAGGAACACCATCCTCTAAAATTCGATAATCTATTTTATCTGGTTTTACTTGTTGGGTCATTTATGTAAGAATAAAAAAATAAATTATTTTAAAATTAATATGTTAAAATAATGATACAAAATCGCTCGATATTGTATGAATTCTTACGTTTACAAAAAAAGTCACACAACCCATCCTATCCTACTACTTCTAAAATTTAAAATGAATGATTGGGCATTACATTAATCCAATTTATTGTTTATTTGTTAATCTAGTGGAAACAATTAATATTTTGGAGAAACAAAAATTTGAAATTTGAAATTTTGAAAAAAATGCATGAATCGGTAATTAAACATTGATTTATTAACTTATTAGCCATGCTTTTGATGTTGGTCTTATTCTTAAGCCGATTTAAAGAATTAATTTTTCCAAATCGTGTTTGACATTAACACATATAGATATATCAGGAAAGAGGTATCACTTATCAAGTTATTGGTTTTTATGTATCTCCTAACTTTGCCTCGTTCTGAATACAATTCTAGTTAACGAATTTTAAATAACTATATGAAGAATACATCATTTTGGTTTTATTATTATTAAAATGATATATATTAGCTATGTATATGCTTGTAAGAATATTATTCCGTGAATTGGAAACAGAAAAAATAAATTTAGACAGAAAATGCATATCTTTAAAAAATAATATGAAATTTAGCTTTGATATTATTATCCGATAAAATATGCATGATAATTACTCCGCAAATAAAATTTAGGAAGCAAGTTGTGACGGTTTGGGCTGTTTTCAATGGCCCACAAGGAAGGAAGTATCGTTTTATCAGGCAACAAGAGGTCTTGAAATGAGTAAAGGACTGATCACCCTTGAAAGGTTCAAACTTGCTTGCGCGCCGCAGTCTTAAAAATGATATGTTTCACTTCTGGTCGAAAATTTCAACCTCTATGACAGTTGTTGGATGAACAATTGTGTAGCGGGATGAAATCTGAGTGCGGCCTGGGGCTGCAGCATCAATCTTCCCGGCATCTTTACCGCAATCATCTCTTAGATTGCACACAAAGTTGCGAACGAGCAGCTTTCTATGCGGTAAAGATGCCGGAAAGAGAGAGTCGATGTGAGGTTCTTTTTGAGGGCTCCTCGAATGAGACACTGTTCCGCATTCATAACTTGAACGCGGAAGTTTGACCGACAAGAGTGTATTATGCACTCCTGTCGGTCGCAGTGTCTCATTCTGGGAGACATTGCCTCTGCATGTCTCCCAGAATGGAACAATGTTCCGCATTCATAACTTGAACGCGGAAGTTTGACCGACAAGAGTGTATTGTGCACTCCTGTCGGTCGCAGTGTCTCATTCTGGGAGACATTGCCTCTGCATGTCTCCCAGAATGGAACAATGTTCCGCATTCATAACTTGAACGCGGAAGTTTGACCGACAAGAGTGCATTATCCAATCTTTTTTGTCATATACCTCAACCCACAAAGACAAAACCTTACATAAAATAGGTAAACTTTGGTTTTCACTTAATAATGTTTATTTTTAATTTTTTGTTCTTTATATAACTTTTTCTTCTACTAAACTATTTTACAGACTCTACTGAGCTATACTCACATATATACCTGTGACAATAACACATATATACTCCCTTCATATTCTGATCTCATGACATATTACAGCACAAACTATAATTATACAACATACCTCATAAAGTCTGATTTTACCCCTATCTAAGCGTTCAAAACCTATTTTCCTTAAAATTTCTCTTCAAGTTCATACTTTTCATTCATACTGAAACAACATCTTTTTTTGAAAATACAATTTTTTCAAAAAATGTATGAATTCAAAAGTGCATACTATATCTAGTCATTACCCAACATTAATTTTGTATTTTAGTTTTTAAGATATTCATTTTATTATACGTCTTATTCAGAAAATTAAATATATTTGTGAGGGAAAACGGAGGAAATAATAAATATGTCAAGATCGAGGAATTGACAATTTTAAGGAAAATATTAAGTTGTGTATTTTGTGTTTATCTCATTGTGTGATGCATATTTTCACGATCTGACAGCAGAAATCGAATCAGCAGAGCCAGAAGAATCAGATTACGCGGGGAAAATAGGTTTTGAACGCTTAGATAGGGGTAAAATCAGACTTTATGAGGTATGTTGTATAATTATAGTTTGTGCTGTAATATGTCATGAGATCAGAATATGAAGGGAGTATATATGTGTTATTGTCACAGGTATATATGTGAGGATAGCTCAGTAGAGTCTGTAAAATAGTTTAGTAGAAGAAAAAGTTATATAAAGAACAAAAAATTAAAAATAAACATTATTAAGTGAAAACCAAAGTTTACCTATTTTATGTAAGGTTTTGTCTTTGTGGGTTGAGGTATATGACAAAAAAGATTGGATAATGCACTCTTGTCGGTCAAACTTCCGCGTTCAAGTTATCAATGCGGAACATTGTTCCATTCTGGGAGACATGCAGAGGCAATGTCTCCCAGAATGAGACACTGCGACCGACAGGAGTGCACAATACACTCTTGTCGGTCAAACTTCCGCGTTCAAGTTATGAATGCGGAACATTGTTCCATTCTGGGAGACATGCAGAGGCAATGTCTCCCAGAATGAGACACTGCGACCGACAGGAGTGCACAATACACTCTTGTCGGTCAAAGTTTTGCAATCACATTCTGATTGCAGAAGATTGTCTCATTCTGGGAGACATGCAGAGGCAATGTCTCCCGAAATGATACCGTCATACCAACACCAATTTATTCCTTCTTTCCATTGTCATACAATTCAATATTTTTATCAATCTTAATCAACTTTTTTTATTCTTCTTTAATTCAATTTATCTTTCTCCTAGAATATCTATTCCTTTAACAGACATAAAATCACTAATCGAGCTTTTTCAATACTCAAAATTTCATATAAATCTTTGTTATTTTTTCTCTCATCGCTTATTTTATTAAATATACATATTTCCTCTCACATATCCCTCTTCATATATATTGGATCTCAACACTCATCTATTAGAACAATATATTTTCGCTTAATCTCATATTATTCATTAACAATCTTTCATCTTCTTATTTCTAGTTAACCTACCAATATATATATAGAATATATGCCCAATTACATATTCAGATACATTAAATTCAAGAAATTCTTCTAATATTATTCTCCTATTCATAATAAAATCATATTTAGTCTCACATCACAATTCTATCAGTTCTCCAATATCATATCATATTGGTAACATCACATATATCTCTTATAATATCACTTAAATTTGTATTTTTTTATTAATTATATTTAATTAGTTCTACATTCTATTATTATAGAGGTTTGACAAACTCATCAATAGTTAAAATCAAAATCTATTCAGAACTTTGAATCTAATGAAAATTACATTTCGATATCTTTTTGCAAGCTTAATTTTTTGTATTATCTTAAAATACATTTAGTAATGTTATGTACGTATTGAATTCAAATTATAGCGCAGTAACATGCAACTCATCTTGAGATTCACATTTCATTTTCACAATTATTGCATATATACATCAATAACATATTGTACTCATATATCTACACGACTCTAAACTCAATGACATCAAATAATGCTTGTAATATTTAAAATAATTTTTGCATTTTTGATTCTCAGCTTAACTTCTATAAATGTCACCAAAACATTTCATTCCTACCAAGAAATAATATATTAGTAATTAAGCGTTTATTACCATTGTTACTCACATCATATTAATTCATTTTTGTAATTTTTTAAATAAATGACTGGAATCATAAACCCTATGTACCCATATCAACATGTTAAAATTTCAAAGTCTGAAACTTAGTATACATTGAGTTTCATGAAATCAGATAATCTCGTAGATTTCTTAAATATTATATATTGCTGGCCAATAATGATGCAGCATGATTCTCCATCATATCAGCATTCTAAACATATCTTTATTTTGTCAATTGGCATAAATTAAGGGTGCTTTTCAGGCGATAAATGGTATTTTAGATACCTGGGTAGGGGTCATGAAAAAGTTGCAAAAGTCAAAAATTGAGGATAATTCAAACATATTATCTCAAAATAATATAACCGAATCTTTTATTGTTTGATTAAATAAAAAATGTTTTTGTTAGTTTATATCTGAATCCATGGTAAATCGTTGAAACAATTTTCAAAAAATATATTTGTAAATATTCTCAACAAAAACATAATGGAATCACCTTTAAAAGGAGAAATTGTGAGTTTTATGCATGAATGTATATAGTTGTTGCTCATTATTGATTTCATTATCACTAAGATAAAGTAACTTTTTTCATTTTATAAGTGAAATGAGTCACTACAATTAAGTTGTGATTCCTTTTAAATGGGTCCTAAGGAAAGTTCATTTCTTGCTTCAGAAATAAATATTGCTGAATAATCAAAGTTTTTTGTTTTAAAAAATAGTTTTTATTTTAAATATTAAGAAGCGCAAAATAAGTCAAACAACTAAAAACGATTATTTAATGTGAATAAAATTATTTGATCTTCAATCTCGAAATAATTGGTTCACAAATAGCAGACTTTTCGTCAGAATTTGTAGCGACTTTGAATAAACCTCCATTGGACGTAACACCAACGATGCCACTAACTTTTGCATTGAAATTAATCCACATTGGAGGATTATCGCTGTATTTGAGTTTCATTGTTGGCCTTATTGCATCATCTTCGGTTTGTTGGTGTAAATCGAAGACAAGAAAAGTTTCTGTATTATCAATCAAAGCTAAGCGATTTCTATGTTCATCAAAGGAGATAGAATTGATCTTACTGCAATTTCCTCTCTTTAGACGAGCAACAATTTGAAGAGATGGATAATTATAAATATTAATTTGCCTTCCTTCATCTCCTGCGATTGCAATTAAGCGGCCATTCTGGCTGACTTTAATGCCAAGAATAGATGTCTTAAAGCAATGTATATAGCGTGGTGGAACTGATTTATCGTAAATATCAATAATTCCGATAACGCCTGTTTCTGCTGCTGGAAAAACGATCATGTTGATAATATGAGATGGTGTGAGATCAAAAATGCCATCGCGATTAAATGCTGTTTCGAATTGAGCGACAATCTTGAAATCGGATAAATTCATTACGTAAATGCATTTCTGGGAAGAAGCGATTATAATATCTGGTCTAAGTTTAATACCCGTAATAGGGGCTTCGAAATGGCAAGTAGTTAAAAGTTTTGCTTTAAATCTATCCCAAATAAAGACGTCTGTTGTATTGTAGTCGAGGTATGTAAGAGCTATGATGTTAGACATTCCGAATGTGGAAATTAAATTGCAGCCATAAGGGCATAATCTATCATCTTTTGTTCTAACATCAGTTAGAAACTCTCCAGATGAAGAATATATTACAGTAAATCCTGAACATGTTGCTAAACCAATGATGTTTGCAAAATCATCAAAAGACACATTGCGAATTACTGAATTTGCCTTCATCAAAAAAAATTCCCAACAAAAAAATTTTCTCTAAAATCTTTCTAAATCTTTTAACATGACTGAAGCAAATCAAGAAAAGAAAAAGCCACAGCCAGTGCCAGACCCTCCAGACTGGTCATTTGGAAGTAGTAAGATAAGTAGTCCGAATGCTCAGCCAACAAATTCGCAATCAAATCAACCGAATACTACAAATATGCAAGCCAATAACTCATCATCTGGACCAGGTGCTAGTGGGTCAAAACCATTTCAAGGTAGTCCATTTGCAAATAAGCCTACTACACAGGTAGCAAGTGGAAATCCATTTGGCGCAAAACCAGGTGGAACTCCATTTTCTAATCCAAGCGCATTTGGAACCAATAGAACAAATCCATTTGGTGCCACAACAACACAGGCAAACTCATTTGGTACAAAATCTTCAAATCCATTTGGTGGCCAAACAACACAATTAAATCCATTTGCACAAAAATCTTCAAATCCATTTGGTGGCCAAACGGGACAGTCAAATACAACTGCTGCAAAAACGTCGACTCCATTTGGCCAAGGAGCAAGTCCATTTGGTCAAAAAGGTGGAAGCCCATTCGGTAAGACATCATCAAACCCGTTCGGTAAACCAAAAGAAGCTCAAGCAAACCCACCAGCAGCAAACAACGCAGCTCCGCAATCTACTGAAAATAAACCTGCTGAATCAGCACCTCAAACTGCCGCCCCTGCAGCAGAAACAAAGCAAGAAGCTGCTGCTCCCAGCGCAGAAACTAAGCCAGAAACTCCTGCACAGAACGCTGAAACAAAGCCAGCAGGAACAAGTCCATTTGGAAGCAAAACTAATACAACTGGATCAAATCCATTTGGATCAAAACCATCTGGATCATCTCCATTCGGATCAAAACCTACTGCAAATTCATTTGCAGCAAAACCGTCAGGAGTTGCCAATCCATTTGGATCAAAGACTTCAGAAACAGCTCAGTCAGGAGGAGCTTCTACTGCACCAAAACTAAATACATTAGGAGGAGCTGCAACTGCTAATCCATTTGGAACAAAAACATCTGTAACAAGTCCATTTGGAACAAAGAATCAAGGAGCAAGTCCATTTGGAACAAAGACTCAAGGAGCAAGTCCATTTGGAACAAAGACTCAAGGAGCAAGTCCATTTGGAACAAAGACTCAAGGAGCAAGTCCATTTGGAACAAAGACTCAAGGAGAAAGTCCATCTGGAAGTGGTTCAAATACGAGTAATCCATCTGCACCTAAAAAGTATGGTCATCTTATCGAAAAAATTGAAAATGGCGATCCAGAAGTAGAAAGGAAAAAGGAAGAAGAGAAGAAGAAGAAACAAGAAGAGCTTAAGAAGCAAGAAGAAGAAGAAAAGAAGAAACGGGAAGAAGCTAAAAAGAAAGAAGAAGAGGAAGAAGAAGAGGAAAAGAAAGAAGAACCAAAATCACCAACTTTATCTCCAAAACCAGCTTCTCCTTTGAATTCTGGAGAAAAATCTCCAACAGCAAAACCAGAAGAAGCTAAAAAGGAAGAAGAAGCCAAAACTGAAGAAACTAAACCAGAAGAAGCAAAGACAGAACAAAAGGAAGAAGAAACAAAACAAGAAGAGAAAGTTGAAGAAGAAGAAAAACCAGAGCCTCCAAAACCAACATCAATAATGTTACAACAGGATATTTCTTTGTTACTTGGAATTATGCAAAATACTCCAAGATTCGAGTTCAAAACAACGTTAAATGATAATGATGAAGGTTTCACAATTGACGATGATGTCCAAACGAAACCAACAATTTCTAACCTTGAAAAACTTATTAAAGACTTACCAAGTGAAAACAAAGACAGCGTTTGGGATAAAGAAAACAAATTCCAATCAGTTGACAAATTAGATATTGATAATGGAATCAAAAACTCACAAGAAATTCAAAAATCAGTCAGCCAAATGTTGGATACACTTGAAAAGAAGGCAAACGAAGTCATTGAAGAACACAAGACAAATAAATCAAAGAATCTTCTTGAAAGCTTGAAGAAGAAAGCAGAAGTATTAAAGAGAAGATCCCAGAAATTCGGTGTCTCTTCATCAGAAGTCGGAAAAATGGTTGTATATTGTTCAACACATGGCCAAGAAATCACTGACAATGTTATCAAAGAACTTGGAGAACAAACAGTTCCTCAGAAGCGTATGCTCGCACAAGGAGGCGCAAGTCCACTCAAATTACAGAGCAAACCAGCGGAAACAGAGAGAAAATCATCATTATTAACACCTCAGAAGAACGAAGAAGCAACTTCAAACGAAACACCAGAAAAAAGCACTCCAAAACCAGGAATTGGTACGGGATTTCTTAATAAAGCTCCTTCCTTTGGAGCCAAGAAAGAAGCTTCAAAGGAAGAAGGAACTGCACCAGCAGCTAAACCAGCAGCTCCTCCACTTGGTTCATTCACTAATAAAGCTCCTGATGCTTCTAAGTTCCCAACACCAGGTGCTCCTAAACCTCTTTCAACAGGTTTGACAGCAGGAAAATCATCTCTTTCTGGTGGATTAACTGGATCCAAACCATTTGGAACAGGTGCTAAAACTAGTTTCGGTCTGAATAAAGATAAACCAGCAGAAACTCATAAGGAAGAGTCAAAAGAAGAATCACCTGCACCAGCAGCTAAAACAGCCGCTCCTCCAATGACTTCATTCACAAGTAAAGCTCCAGATGCTTCTAAATTCGCAATGCCGGGTGCTTCCAAACCTCTTTCAACAAGTTTGACAGCAGGAAAACCATCTCTTACGGGTGCTAAAATTGGTTTTAATCTGAATAAAGATAAACCAGCAGAATCTCCAAAGGAAGAAACGAAAGAAGAAGAGAAACCTAAAGAAGAATCACCTGCACCAGCAGCTAAAGCAGCAGTTCCTCCAATGACTTCATTCACGAGTAAAGCTCCAGATGCATCAAAGTTTGCAACAATTGGTTCGTCATTGTCCAAACCAGGTTCTTCGACTGGATCATCATCAGCAAAACCTTCTCCATTTGGAACTAATCTAAATAAATCATCTCTATTTGGAGCAGCCAAAACTGGTACTGGAATTACAAAACCAGCTGAAGCACCAAAAGAAGAAGCTCCAAAGGAAGAAAAATCGAAAGAACAGCAAGAACAAGAAGATGCAAAGCCTGTTAAAGCAGCTGTTAATACATCAGCCGCTCCACCTCTTGGTTCATTCACAAGCAAACCACCTGATGCATCTAAATTTGCTTCACCTGGTTCATCATCTGCTTCATCAACTGAATCTAAGTCATCATTTTCTATAAAACCATCTCCATTTGGAACAGCTGCAAAGGCAAGTCCATTTGCAGCTAAACCTCCTGGAACCAATGGATTTTCAAGCTTCAATAAACCAACAGAAGCACCAAAAGAAGGAACAAATGCACAGAATCCTTCAACACCAGAAAAAGCATCAGCTCCACCTCTTGGTTCATTCACAAGCAAGGCACCTGATGCATCTAAATTTGCTTCACCTGGTTCATCAACTGAATCTAAATCTCCATTTGGAACAGCTGCAAAAGCAAGTCCATTTACAGCTAAACTTTCTGGAACCAATGGATTTTCAAGCTTCAAAAAACAAGCAGAAGCACCAAAAGAAGGAACAAATGCACAGCAAGCATCATCAACAGAATCTAAGCCAGCTTCACCGTTTGCAATGAAAACTAGTGGATTTGGAACTAAACCTTTTGGATCTGGATTTTCAATTCAAGTAAAACCAGCAGATGGATCAGCCAAGGCATGGGCATCAGCTAAGCCTGGTCAATCAGGATTCCCTAAAAAGAATTAAATTAAATTTTAATAAGTTTCTTTTTTTTACAATTACATGTTATCTGCGTTCGACAGGACGCTCATTCTTTGCAAATTGTGGGCGTATGTCGATATACATGCATTAAATGCCTACCTGCTTTTGATCAAAGAAAAATATTAATATTTTAGTGTTTACTTTTCAGTGACACTTCACACCTTTGCGTGCTATTTTGAACAAGTGCCAGAAAGTGGTAAGTGCACCCTTAAAAAGGGCCAATATACATGGAAATTTGAAAAATGTCTAAACAATGTAAATATTATCAAGAATGCTTTTTTTTATAATTTATCATTCATGCCCCCTCCAAAAAAAAAGACAACATTTTTTATATGAGTATTGATTATAAAGTAATAGCCAATACTGTTGCTGAGTGGTGCACTAATGATAACTTCTTTGAATTACGCACAAGCAAACAATTGTGCACAATATTTGACAATGCTGTTCTCACATCACAACAATTCAACGAAATCTCTACACGAATTCAAAAATATTATGATTTATCAGATATATGCAAAATCTTGCAGCATGTCCATATCAACTTCGAGAATAATAAATCTGATGCATTTTATGTTTTAGATTCAATTTCGCAAACCTTCAAATTTCAATTCATATCAGACCTTAAATCAGTCATACAGCCAACAACCAACAAAACAGCTTCTAAAAGTGAAAAGAGAATAGAGAAAATTAAAAAAATGGAAGGGAAAATAGACTTTCATAAGAATTTTTACAAACTATACCATATTTTATGTGAAGCTTGCAAATTTGATGATGAAGAAACAATCAAATTTGCAATAAGTGGCGGATACCTTCAAAATCGTGCTCCAGGATTTGATGTCGAATCTGACTTTAGTATGAATATTCCACTTCTTGCTGCAAAACACGATAATCTTGGAATGCTGAAAACTCTTCAAAAATATGGAGCAGATATACGAGGATCTAGTAATGCGCTAGATACAATTCTTCACCAGTTTTGTAAAAATGGAAATCTTGAAGGTGTTAAATTTGCTTTAGAGTTTATAGATGTAAATATCTTGGATAGATATTATTTTACTCCTCTTCATTTTGCGAATATCTTTGTTCATTTCCATCAATCAAAAAGGATATAAAAGCAGGTATTTTTAAAAAAGCATACACACCTTATGATTGTGCTAAAGGTCGTATTGAAAATTGTTCCAAACTTCGTGATTTGCTCATTAATTAAATTACTATTTAGAGAAAAATGCTGCAAACTTTGTAAAATTTCTAGTTTGTACTTTTGCTTTTACAAATTCCTTGATGACAGTTTTTTTGTGAAATAGTATCAACCCTGAATACAGATAAAAAATTATTTAAGTAAATATATTAACTTTATGATATTATGTTTTATATACATTATCTTTTGATACTAGAATTCAATTTCTCACCTATATTCAGTCGCAAAAGTAAAAATTTGAAGATTTATTTCGAATTATTTTTTGTTTTCATTGTTTAATAAGGAAAAAGAATGCAGCTAGTGATTTAATAGAAATTAAAAGTATCAATAAATTATGATAATAAACAGTTTATTAATCAAAATTAAAATTAAGCATTAACATTTTGAATTCTGTAATGGGGATCACTTTTATAGTATGTAGATCTTTTACTGAGGAGTATCTAGTGATAATGACCTAATTATATGTTTAATAGCTCTTGCTTGAGGATCTGTGATTCCATTTAAGCCATCGAGTATACCTTTGAATATCACTTGTGAAAAACGCTTTATCATTGCATCATTAGTATCTAAATCTAAAAGACAAGAACTAATCCAGTCTAAAGCCATTTTTGTATTTGTTGGAATGAGATATGTTGTCTGCTGTAAGAATGATAAAAATGTGGCTGCTCTTTGTGTTGGAACTGGAGGGAAAAAGTCATTTGGATCATTTTGATTTATAAATTCATTGAGCTTTTCTAATGATCTCATTTCCAATACTTCAACAAGTGGGTTCTCTGGCTTTGTTGTCTTTGGTAAGAGTTTCTCGCATTCGGTTTGATTTGATTTAATTTGTTGTAAAGCATTTGTGATTTCCTTTTCTTTTTGTTCGTGAAGTTTTAATTGTTCTTTGATAGCTTCATCAATTTTCCTTATGCTGTCTTCGATACTATTATCTAAAAATTGCTGTTCCGATTGTAATTGCTTTTCTGATTCAGCGCGAAGTTGTTTAATTGCTATAGCTGAGGCTGTTTGATTTTGTTTGACGATATTATTGACGTTAATCTTTATATTTTGTTGCATTTCTAAAAATGAATTCAAAAACAATTTTTGACGAACGAAGAATATTATTGCATACATATACTACATTTGAATTAGCAAATCTTTTTGCAAATTCGGTTGTTATCAATTCGACCAAATAATTGCTATCGTTATTTATTGATGTCGATGGTATTATAAATAACAGTATGGGGTTTTTTGGTGACAAATTTTATGTTGGTGAAAAAAACCGTATTCTCACAATTTTGAATGAAAGACTCCCCCCTACGTTTTAATGATTAATTCTAAAATGAGATATATTTCATGTTAAAAATGAAGTAACCAGGTTAACAACTTGAATCATTACAATAACTACTTTCTTCTAAACGAGAAATTTGAAAAATAAAAAGTAGTATATGTGGAAGGGTTGTGTGACTTTTTTTGTAAACGTAAGAATTCATACAATATCGAGCGATTTTGTATCATTTTTTTTAACATATTAATTAAAAAATGTATGATTCTTACGGTTTTTATTCTTACGTTTTTGAATAAATCAAGATTTAAAAAATTTTCAAAATTGTAAGACATTTACACTCAGCCCATACATAAAAAAATAAACTTTAAAAATTCATGTCTTACATTTTTGAATAATTTATTTTTAATTCGTATGAAATGAGCGTCAAGACTAACGACGTTAAAAAATTGGGATTCACAAATGAGGAAATAAAGGATATATTAGATGAGATGTGTTATGAAGTTAGTAAATATTATTTAAGAAATTGTCAAAAATTTGCTGAGTTATTAAATGATTTAGATTATGATGGAAAAATGAATAAAGATGATGTTATAAATTTCTTATATCCTACATCTGAAGAAGAAAAACCTAAAGAACCTGATGTTTTCCCTGAATATTATGAAGAACGGATTAAAGATGATGATGAATACGATGAAATTGAAATTGAAAGACTGGAAAAAATAAGAGATGAAATAGATGAAAAAATTAAGGAATTAAGAGAAGTTGAAAAATATAATGAAAATGAAGTAGAGGGTTTAATGAATATCCCAGCTTCAGAATCAGCAGTTCAGAAATCTCATGAAGAAAGATATAAAAATTATGTCTCAGAATCAACACAAAATTTATTAGATGGCGAAATAGATGAAACACTTTCAGAAGAAGGTACTAAATTTATACGTAAACATAAGTTACAATTTATTGATAATGAAAAATACCCTTGTATCTTACTTTCACCACCTTTAGATTCCGAAAAATTCAAAAAAGCTCTTAAAAACGTGACATATGCAACTAATACGATTAAGAAAGAAGATCATGATATTTACACAAATTATTATTTAAATAAATGCACGGGTGTTGATAAAGTTTTTGATTTATTAGATAAAATATCAAAAGAAACCATTGGAACATATAAAATTTTATGTGATTGTGGTTTCATTATTGAAGATACTAATAATGTTTCATATGAAAGAACAGCACCGAAGGAAGACGAAGTGGAAAGGTCTATACCATTCGTTATTAAGAACATAAAAGATATGAAAACTTATAAACATTATATTTATTCATTTATTTCAGAAAAAATGGAAGCAACCCATAAAACATCATCTCATCATTTTATAGCTATTCATACATTCCTTTTCAAAGTTGTGAAATTAAATAAGACAGGAATTAGATTTAATGTATCAGGGTACACATTCTTGAGTAAATTAAAATGTATTCGTCACGTTGCAGATGATAAAAATTTGTGTGTTCTTAATTCATTTTATGGACTTTAAAAAATAAACTTTATTTTTTAATTTTTTATTCTTACATAAATGAACCAAAACGGAACTGCTAAAATGAATGATAATCAAATTAGAGCAGAAGGTAGAAGGTTATTTAAACGCTTCTATAACATTTCTGATGGTGTTAATCCTAAAACTCGTAGAAGCTATTTAAATGAAGCAATAGATGCATATGAAGGGTTTGACATTTCATCAGAAAGTGAGAGATTAGCGAGAATGTTAAATGTTAATATTGATTTCTATTATTGTGATCCTCAACCAGAAGACGTGGACATAAATAAGGTAGACTTTCCATTAGTGGATTCAATAATGATAGATCCAGAATTTGAAACAGTAAATATTTTATTAACACAGAGTCCATGTGGAAAACTTCACGCTGACAGAATAACAGACGTTGAAGCACTCACCGGCTATAGAGTTTGTCCATATTGTAAAGAAGAAGTTTATTCTATCCGTGATGATCCAGAAAGGAAAAACCAAAGAAGATTTTTAAAGCATTGTGAGAAATGTAAAGAAAATAATGGAAGATTAATTCAAGACGTTCAATTGCAAAAGACCCAGCAACCATATGCACCACATATTACGAAACAGAAGATATATCAGTGGTTATTAGCTCATAATTTGCAGGAATATTATCAACCGACAAGATATTATATTACTTTTGACTTCGAAACATTAGAGACTAAAGAAGAATTACAACTTTCTGAGTGTGCAACTTTGAACGCTTACTTAAAACCATTAATGGTATCATCAACGGTTAAATTAAGTGATAAAACATATACGAGGAATTTTTGCTTAACTTCGAGTGATTCTTTTATTTCTGATTGGATTGAGTTTTTATTTTCAACCTGTTCATTAGTTGTTGAATCAAATATAAGTCAATACGATGAATTATTGAAGTCGCAAACGGACCAAACGGTGGGGACTTTGTCTCATACATTAAATGAAAAACAGAAGGAAGCATTTAAAGAACTTCTAGATGAGGAATTCAATAAAGTGAATATCATAGGTTTTAATTCGGGAAAGTTTGATTTAAATTTAATTCTTCGTGATTTAAACACTGCAAAATGGAAAATAAAATCAATGCTGGGTTCATCTTCACAATTTAAGCAAATCATTGTAAAGAAAACAAACGTTCCATATGAATTGAGATTTATTGACATCAGAAATTATATAGCGGGTGGGACATTAGACCAATTCACTCAAGATTTCGGAAACAATAAATCACGTGTTAAATCCTTTTTCCCTTATCAATTCATCACATGGGAAAATTACGAAGAAGAATTATATAAAGAGGAACCATTCACGAAAGATTCATTTTATTCAGCATTAACTCAAGAAACTATATCAGATAGTGATTATCAAACATATCTCAATGATGCTAAAAACTTTAAGAATAGATTAGAATATTTTATTCATTATTGCAATAAAGATGTTGAAATTATGATTGACCCAATCGATAAAATTATTGAAGAAACATTTGTTTATAAAATTGATATGCTTCATAATCTTTCTTTATCATCGAATGCTTCAATGATTCGTTACGCTTTAGCATATAAAGACTTTAATCCTAATGAAAAATATCCTGAGGAAGAGATAGAATCAAGTTTTGAATTAACGAAAAAGTATTGGAAATATAAAATTGAATCATATAAGAAACAAGATGAAAAAGCAGAAAGGGATACTAAAAATAATGTTTCAATGGATGATTTTCAATACTATCACGATTTAATCCTTTCATCTAAATGCAAAATGTGTGGTAAAGCGTTTACATATGCAAATAAACCAACATTGGATAGAATCGATAATGAAAAACCACATACCAAAGAAAATTGTCAGTTAATGTGTTGTTATTGCAATGTCGTAAAATCAAATAAAGATGAAGATGTTCAACGTTTAAGAATCAATTTAAGAAATTATGCATTAAAAAATAATTTACCAATGACTTTAGATTCAGTTGAAGCTTATCACATTCTCCGTAATGGAATTACTGGTGGTTTATCAAATGTTCAACATAGAGTAAATCTTAAAGGAATCACGCACATTAATAAACTTGCATATAATCCAGAAACTAAAACTGTATCAAATGAGGACACCACCAACATTATGACTCATTTCGTTGGTGTTGATTTTAATTCATTGTATCCTTCATCATTTTCATCTAATCCTCATGATTTCATTCAATATACTGACCATAAAATGTATATGCCGGGAAGATTGAATGGTGTTATCATTTGTGATACAGCAACAAAGAAAGCAAAAGCACTGGGAATAATTAAGAAGAAAAATACTTTATTCGTTGCTGAAGTAAAGGGTCACATTGATGAAAAATACATTAATAATTACATTAACTTTTTACCGATAATAAGAAACTTAGATATTATCACAGATGAAAAAACAATTGGTAGTTTTATGTATAATTACATGAAATCAAACAATCTACCAGTTGACCAGAAACAGAGAAAATTAACTCAGTTAGCATCAACACACAACCAATATCAACCATTTTCTTCTTATTATCTTATCTAATCGACAGATTTCATTTTATCATTGATGATATTCAATCAATTTTAACATTTACTAAAAACACTTGTTTTAATGAATTTGCGAACGAATTTATGAACGAAAGACAAAAGGCTGAATTAGAAGGAAATAAAGGAAAAAGTTTATTTTGCAAGATTTCGCTTAATGGATCATATGGTTACGATGCAATGAATACACAAAATTACGCAAAGACTAAAATAATGAATGCACAGAAGTCACGCGTTGCATGTATGTCAAATAAGTTTAAAAACATAAGAGAAATAGGTGAAGATACATATCAAGTGATGCTCAAAGATAGATTTTATAGATGTGATACATGTTTACAAGAGGCATTTTTTACTTTAGATAACGCAAAATACTGGTATTTGGTTTTCATTTATGATTTTATGTATAAATGCATGAATCTTAATCGTTTTCATTTCATTGAAGGTGATACTGATTCATCTTATTGGGCTATTGCTGGCGACCAAAATCTTCCTAACACTCAAGCATTTCAAGCAATTGTTACCGATAAACAATTTTATGATAAAAACATTTTCAAATTCGCACCATTTGATTTCTTCTGTTTTGATGAGAAATTTAAACCTAAATTAAAGAATAAAGCTGAAGAAAAAGCACATGAGAAAAATTATTGGGTTTAGCAATTGAGAAACAAGGTGATAACATGGTTGCTTTATGTCCTAAGTGTTATACATCATTCAACGGTTCAATTGATGGAAGTGATTTTAAAAAGATTGCACAAAAAATGAAAGGTGTTAGTTTAAGACAAAATAAGCAATTAACACCTAAAAAATATTTGGATATAATAAATGATAAAGTGATATTTGATGGTCAGAATATTAATTTACAACTTAAAAACGGGTCAATGACTCGCTTAACAATCGGTAAGACTGCATTAACAGGAGCACACACTAAGGCTGTATGTTGTGAAAATGGATGTTGTATGCCATTTATTTAATACAATTTAAAATTTTAATGAAATGCCACAGAAGAGACAAAAGGAACCGTTAATGATGGTTTTGATACTATGATTCAAAGATGTTAAACAAATGAGAAACGTTTTAACATTACCAGAAGCTCAAGCATATGCCAAACGTCATGGTCCAAATTGGGAAGCACACGAAGCAGACATTACGGGTCCAAAACAGTTATTTTATTTTTATATAAATGGATAACACAGATTTAAAAAAATTAATTGTTGATTTAGTACTTAATCAAAATTTTCTTGATTATTATGATTTAAAAGCATATCTCCAAAAACATAATAACAATATAACGGGTGATGATATGGAATATTATTATCCGTATTATAAAAATGAAATTTTGAAATATCATGATGGAATAATTTCTAAAATTAAAGACAAAATTAAAAATAATGAATATACAAAGGGAAAAACTAAATCACAACTTAAACAATTGAAAGATTTCAAAATAAAGTATAACAGAAAGAAGATATTGATGAATTATATAATTTATATAATCCTGAGCCGCAAAAACCAAAGGAACAAAAACAAAAGATGCAAAACACTCAGGTCCTTCAGACCATAAATGAAGCACAAGCTTTAATTTATGATTCATTAGTTAAACCATATTCAGCCCGACTTTTAAATGAAGATCAACTTTTGGAATTCATCCTTCAACATAAACTCGAAGCGGGAAAGTATATCAAACCTTTATATACAGCATATTTAAAACAAATGAATAGAATACATCCAGAATTAATGAAGGAAGGAATGAAATCCAAAATCAAAGCAGATAAAATTAAACCACTTGCAACACCAAAACCTCCAACGACAGTACCTCCAACGACAGTACCACCTCCTCCTTCAGTTAATCCTTCATCATTCACTTTATTATATCCATTTCAAACATTAAAGAAGCAAAAAGATTTTAAAAAGGATTTCAAGATATTAAATAAACCAATTGACCCAAAAATTCAACCATTAAAGGAAAAATTTAGTCGCCCTTCATTTGCTCCATATCCATATTCATACGAAATCGATCATCTGGAATATTCAAAAGGAAACGTTACTTATTTATTTGCCATTAACATTAACACTAGATATTTATATTGCATTCCAGTGAAAGGGAAAACAGAACAGGAAACAAGAAGAGCTATTCAATACTTACTAGATCATGAAAGAGTAGATAATATAAGGGGTGATGGTGATAAAGGATTTCAGGCAACTATGACTCATTATTTCCCACAAATTAATTTTTTCTTTTCATCCTCTCCATATACGTTTCATAATAAAATAGTTGATGCGGTAATGAGAACTCTTAGAGATGCGTTAGGGGTTAATGGTCAGATATACTGGGATGGAAATCATGACTCCATCATACAACAGTTAGTATATTATTATAATAATACATGGCATAGAACTATAAACATGAAACCAGTGGAAATGAAAAATGATATTTCAAAAGAATGGGAATATATTAGAAAGCAAATGGAAAGGTTGAATGATGTTAAACGTGAACAAATTAATTCGGGGCTCATGAATTTTAAACAAGGGGATAAAGTTTTGATTCATCTCGATTATGGAAAAACTGATAAATCAATGACAAAAAGAAGACGAAGATTTGACACAATAGCTGAATTTGTTAGATATATTAACGGTAATGTATTAGTTGAAGTTGACAATAAATTAATAGAAATTCCGATTTATTTTATTACTCCATTATATTTAAATAATATTTAATTTTTTTATTTCGTAAGAAATGAGTGACAATGAAGCAGCCAAGAGTCCAGATTTAATTAAGATTCAGAGTCCAGACAATGAATATAAAAAGAAACTAAACAGAATTAAATCAAAAATATGCTATTACAAAAAGAAGCCGCAATGTGGTGGGGTTGATGCCCATAAAACTAATGGAACTGAAAACGATAAAGAGAAGAAGGAAATAATCGAAAAATTAGAAACTTATCGTTCAATCATTAAACTGAGTGAAGCAAAAATAAAAGAATTTAATAGAATAAATAAATTGATTGGAAGAGATGAATTTAATAAAGATGAATTTTTAAACTCAATCCAAATTTAATTTTTATTTTTCTTTGACAACATCTCTCTTTCCATCATTACTGCATAACCACATTTTCTCAGTTTTAGTGGTTTGTTATTTTTAACATGTTCTTGCATCATTTTTATCATTTCCTCCCTTGTTATGATTCGTGGTAAATTTTGACCTTGTGGGGTATTCATTTATGATAAAAATAAAAATTTGTCATAAACGACCAAAAATATATTTTATCGTTAATGTTTTTAGGTTATTCAATAATTAATTATTTTTGAAGAACTGAAGGTGTCACTATGTCACCATGTGTCACTCGGTTAATTAACTTCTCTGAAAAAATGAGACAACATGACATTTAGACAACAACACAGGAGGAAGGCAGTTATGAATTATTTTTGAAGAACTGAAGGTGTCACTATGTCACCATGTGTCACTCGGTTAATTAACTTCTCTGAAAAAATGAGACAACATGACATTTAGACAACAACACAGGAGGAAGGCAAAAATAAATTCCAATCATACTTTATAAAGCTTCATTTACAGGTATTTCATCGTCAGTAAATGAATCCTCATTATCGTTTGGTTCAACCTGTTTATATAATCCTTTCATTTCTTCTTTCAAAACATAACACCATGTTTGTTTACCATCTATTCTTCTCTGTTTCTTATCACATTTATCCTTAATACTCATTTGAAAGTTTTTGTCTTTCATGTCTGATGGTTTGCAGAATAGAGCATTTTCACACGTCATACCTGCACACAATTCATCATAATGTGTATTTATCCATACATCTAAAGGATTTGTTGATAATTCAATTAAATCTTGTTTGGCTTCAGTCATCGGTATGATTCGTACATTAAATGATGAAAGGTCATATTGCATAAAATATGTTAGTAAATTATCATAAAATTCCTTTGTGCATGAATCCATCAAATTCTTGAAGTAATCAAATTGACCCTTGAATTTACCATTAACCCTTAAAACTACGTATCTTCTGTCTCCAACTTCAATTTTGACAGGGTAGACGTTGTTAGTTACGAAAATGAAGTTTGCAACGTTCTGTGCAGTTCTTCCGGGTTGATTCTTTTCATTAATTCTAATCTCATTATCCGTTATAATTGATTTCAAAGCGTTGAAGTTTGCGAGTCTATCTTCACCAACATTCTTGAGTTCATTAAGTACAAGAAACATTTTATTCTCAACTACTGAATTGAAATTACCCGTTAGCTCACCTATTTCGGTAATGTTTTTACATGAATAACCAGCGAGAAGTTCAGAAATAATGTCCGTGAATCTGTTTTTACCTGTTCCCTGAAGTCCTTTCAAAATAATTGCTGTTTCATTCTTGATTCCGGGATGTTGAATCATTGATGCAATCCAGCCGAGAAGGTATTTATACACTTCATCATTATTATCACATATGGCTTCTTTAATGAAATCCATAAACATCTCAATTTTTGAGTAATCTGGTTTTTCGAGAACGTTGTATTTATAACCTTGAAACGTTGAGAAAACATCTGGAGAATCAGATTTAAAGCAAACACCCTTAACGGTTAATGAAGACAATTGATTTAGTAGTACGTCCCATGCTGTTATGGTTTTACCTTCTTCTTTAAATAATTTAATCATTTTGAGTGACTCTTTCATGTTTGATTGAAGAACGAATGATATTTGATTCATTTTGTCGTGGATATTATAGTCCTTTTGAATGAAATATTTATTTCCATAATCTACAAAACGGATTACACGTGATAAATCCTCAATTACTTCAGAACTGTTTTTATACTGATGATTTTCAGCCTTGCGTCTAATATCTGTTATCAAGAATGAATCATCAAGTTTTATATCAAATGTTATTTTTGGCTTACGTAATAAAGGTAAAACATATTCATCATAATATTCCTTTTGATAAAGTTTTAGAATCTTCACTAAAACAAATGGAGAAGTCATTAAATGTGCATATCTACTACGTGCTTTTTCAAAATTACTTTTTGCATTTTCTGTTAAATTGCAGAAGTTATAAACGTTATCGTATGCTTCATTAATTAAATGATCCGGTAACGAATTAATTGCTTGAAACAGTGTGAATAATGTAACTTCTTTTTCCAAATTCATGTTTCCACCGTCATTATGTACTTCAAAATCACTGATGCCATCAACTATGCTCTGGGCAAGTTTATCGTCAATGTTTACATCTTTGTTTTCATTCATAATAGTCTTTATTTCTTCGTTCTTCTGTTCAACTCTTACCTTAATATTCAAATCATTTAATATATCATTCACTGTTCTGGTTATGGTCGAGTCATAACTTCCACGAATGAATGAGTATGTATTGATTGGTTCTGATGCATTCTTGCGAACTCTTGAATCAGCCATAACCACTAATGAACGTTTTGATTCATCCATAGAAGTCATGATATCAATATCATAATCATTGCAGGAATAATATTTAATCATTCTGTTCGAGGTTGAATAGAAGAAATTAGTGTTGCAATAAATGTGAAGACCTCCTGAAGCGGTTTTAACGATAACATCTTTATCCGAAAGTTTTGATAGAATGTCTTTTCCAACTGTTTCTTTAAGTTCATCATTGTACGATTTATTGATATCAACATCTATAATCGTTAAATTTGAAATTTTATTTACTAATAAAGCCATACCAGTTTTCCTTCCTCTTCCTCCATCGTGTTTGAGGTAGTTATGTAAATCAATCTTGTTTTCACCAATTCTTTCGTTGAGGGTTTTAGTTTCTGCCACAACTAATTCCTCAGCTAATGAATCAATAACTTTTTCATCAGAAACGATATAGTTGCTGTTGTTGTTTGTTGCTGTCATTTATATAGGAATAAAAAAATAAAAATAATTTTAAAACTAACTTTATTTTTGGGCTGCATCAAATTTTCGTAAATGTTGTCTAAATGTCATGTTGTCTCATTTTTTCAGAGAAGTTAATTAACCGAGTGACACATGGTGACATAGTGACACCTTCAGTTCTTCAAAAATAATTAATTATTGAATAACCGGAAACCATTAACGTAAACATTATTTTTGTCTGAAAAATGACCAAATTTCATGAATTTCATTATTTTTGTTGCTGAATTCAATAAAAATATATTTTTGTCTGATTTACACTCATTACGATGAAGTTTTGACAAATCATTTACGATGAAGTCATGACAAAATGTCATGAGGTTAGAAATGAGGTTAGAAATGAGGTTAGATCTAACCATCTACCCTAAAAATTATTTTACTCAGAATTTTGTATAAAAAAACAACCGCTGGAATTCAGACGGTTGCTATATTCTTCACAAAACATTAACGTAAACATTAACGTAAACATTAACGTAAACATCAAATTTTCGTAAATGTTGTCTAAATGTCATGTTGTCTCATTTTTTCAGAGAAGTTAATTAACCGAGTGACACATGGTGACATAGTGACACCTTCAGTTCTTCAAAAATAATTAATTATTGAATGACCTGAAAACATGAGACTTTGTCTCCGGACTCTTTGAGTCACTTAACGTAAACATTAACGTAAACATTTATTTCCGCATTTCATTACCTAATTAATTACAGACATAAAATATATTTAGTTCATTCGGTAAGCCTAAACCCTTTGGGTCAAGTCTCAAGCACATTCAATGAACGCGGTACCATGCGAATACAGTCACAAATGGTGGCATGTAATCTTTACCCGAGCCTGTTGGATTTGTTGTGAAAGTGTGTGAATGATTACCTGAGGTTCCACAGAAAATACCTGTGCTTGAATCTACTGGGTCAGTTGTGATATCATATCTATTCATTCCCCATCTATCCGAACCCGCTGCAAGATTTGTATAACCTCTTTTTGTTATTGAATGTGAATGATTTCCTGTTGTGTTTGTAGTTCCTGTATGAGTGTGCGGTGGAAGGTTTGCTTCTTTAATTTTCTTCGAACCTCCTGTTTGCTTTGAATATCTAGCACAGTATAAGAATTTATCTACAATCTGCTTCCACGTACCAAAACCTAAAACTGTTGCTGGATTTGTTGAGTTCATTGACGTATAAATAGAACCAACAGGATATAATGTTTGAAGTATTTCTGTCTTTAATGTTTGAAGCTCTGTTTTGTCTGCTTTCTTATCATATAAATCTTGAGCAGTGAATTTAACTTTATTTTCATCATCCATGACATAAACATTTTTACATCTAATTTTTTTCATCGTTGTTATGTTTTCATTCGATGTTAAACCTTGTGGAAAGTTAGGAGGTTTATAATATAATGCATCCCCATCAGTTCCGTCAACCGTTCCTTCAATACTTTCTATAGCAACAGTTGAGAAGAAGTTATGTGTATGGTTCTTATCTGCTTTAAGGTCTAAACATCCTGAAACCCATTCTGTATCAGCTTTAACTTTAAAAGTCTCCGATGTCCACTCATGATACCATTCAACCTTTTCTTTAATTTCATTATCTTTTTCATCAACATAAACCAAATTTGCCTTCTTATTTAACTCACTATCCACATATTCCTTATCCGCCTTCTTCATTATGTCATTTAGGAAACCTTCTATGAATTCCTCATTTAAATTAAATCTTCCAATCTTCAAAACTTTAAGAAATGCATTTAATGCGTAATATCTTTGTTCTTCTGGTGGAATTGATGTTATATCATCCGTTATTCCTTTAATTTTGAATTCATAAATAAAATTTCTTTTATATTTGATATCACTGCACCACCTTTGCAAACGAATTCGAAATGTTCATTTTTCAATACTATCTCCAAATCTCCATATTTCAACCTTTGCGTTTGTTCTGCCGTCTTTGAATTATATGCATATATGGCGTATGTAATGGTCTGAAGGGCCTGGGTGCTTTGCGCCTTAAGTTGTTGTGGTTTAATCATTTATTATGATTTAAAAATAAATATTTAATCTGTTATCTCATCAGCTATTTTTTCTATTTGAAATTGCCATAATATTTCATTCATGAATTCTAAATCACAATCAAATAGGTCAGTTATTCTAAATTTAATATTTGATAAATCTTTTGAATGAAGAATAAATGAATTCCCGGATAATTGAAACGGATATGATAAAGAAAATGTGTTTAAGTTGATGGATAAAATGTTTTGTATTGATGGGTAAGAGTTATGGTCTAATGTTTGGTGTGAAAATCTCATTGGGGTATTAACTTTATCACATTTGATTAAAATGAAATTGGAACCAGTGTCAGAATACAAAACATCCCCAACATCTTTTTCAAAATTTAATATCCCCAACAATGAACGAAGATGAGGAGTACAAAATTTAATTTTCATCGGAATTTAATAAGGTTATTTATTTCATCAAGTTCAAAAAGTTTATCAGGTTTTGATTTAAAATTTTCTTCATACCATACGATAAATGATTCATTTAAATAACTTAAAATCATGTTAATATCCCATTTCGTTATCACATTATTTATATACATATCATACGTTTTTTCAAGGTCATCTTTAATAAATGATATATAATCTGAAGGGTCTAAAAGAATGGGATTAAATTTACCACTCACAGAAACGAGAGTAACATTATAAATTCCGCTAAACTGTTAAATTTAATTCACAGTTATTATTCGAAATAATATTGATAATTGACATTTTTATTACGATTAACAATATGGTAAAGCGTTATTTTCCAGTGATAAATAAAACTAGAATAAGATTACCTCAAGAATTCATAAATTCAACGAATAAGAAATTCATTCATGTTATAAATTTTAGTGTTTTCAGAAAATATGAGTCAATGTCATATTCATCAACAGGTTATATTTCACTTCATTCAAATTTAGTTCAATCAAACCCATATAATGACCATTTCATAAGATTTTCAGATGGTATTAAAAATGTAATTGATAGATTAAAATATGAACAGATTGACAATATCGAATTTTTGGAATTTTGGTTTAAATATCCCGATGGAAAAAAGATTGAAGTTAAAGATAAAGCTGATACTATAACAAAAACAATTACAATGACCGATCCGGATAGTGGGGAACAAAAAGAAATAAAACAAACGATAGAAACTGGTGAAAGGTCAATTATTATTGATTATGATTCAAAGGATTATTATTCGATAATGTTAATGCTTGAATATTAAATAGCCTTAACAAAGAATTTTTCAAGTGATATTTTATATTCATCAACTATTTTATTATAAATATCATTATATGTTAAATGAAGTTCAGTTGTTGTTCCGTTCTTTGATATCTTAATTGTGCTAATATCCTTTATAGGATTTATTTTTGCAACTGTTCCGCAGCATGAAACCTCATCATCTATGAAAAATTGAATCTTAACGTCTGAATCTTGAACATCACAAAGAATGGCGATAATGTGAATTAATGATTCATAAGGTAAAATAATTAAACCGGATTGGTCAATTAAATTTATTATTGAATCATAATTATTAATTATTATATCACGGTAAATTTTCATTAATTCAGAATTAATGTCTATTTTATATGGGTTCTCGATGTTTGATGAAAGAGGTGGGGGTATGTTGGATAAGTGGGAATTTCAACAGGTTCTTTACCGGGTTCAGATAAAATGATTGGGTCTCCATTCTCATGGTTTTCTTCATTCTCCTCATTTTCGGTAAGTCACGAGTTAATAAATTTGGTTGAGTTGCTGACCTTGTTAATTCAGGGCTAACATTAACTTTAACATTTTGAATAATTCGTGATTTATCATCATTTACGTTATAACCAACCGTAATCTCTGCTTTTGCGTTAGTGTTCTTTTGACTAGTGAAACGTCTTCTCATTTATAATCGAATAAAAAAAATATATTTAAACTTTTATTTTGCTGGAACTTTTGAATCTATTATTCCCTGTATTTGTTCATGAAGTTGATTTTTATTTTCATCGAAATTAATAGACTTAATATATTCATTAATTGCATTCTTATAATCATCTGATTTCTCAAATTTTCTTTTATCTGATTCCTTAACTAAATCATAAGTTAAACCTCGTTGCTGATATAATGGTTTCTTAATTAAATCTTTGAATGCTTGAGATAAAGCACCTGATGCAATTCTTGCTACTATAATTGGTTGGAATTGCTGTTTAAGTTCATCTTTAACATTTGCGAAAACTGGATCGAATAAAGCAACTTTAAAGAATTTCTTGGCTGAAATTTCAGGTCTAATATTTGCATATTGACCATTAAACTGGTTAGAATATTGTGGTAATCCATCCGGTCCCTCTTCAATAGCATTTAATTCTTCATTGAAATAAGAATATGGATTATGACGGTATGAATTAATTGGACCATTTTCACCTTCTCCAATGTATTGTTTAACAGCTTTTCCATTTTCATCAAATTGCATAGGATAACGTTCATTATATGCTTTACGTTTAGGATAATCAGACATAGTTAATTTATAACCATTTATGACTTTAATATTTCCTTGACCATCAGTAACGAAAACTTCATTTATACCATCAGGTTTTCCATTTGGACCCGTAATGTCTGCTTCGTGTGCTTCCCAATTTGGACCATGACGTTTGGCATATGCTTGAGCTTCTGGTAATGTTAAAACGTTTCTCATTTGTTTAACATCTTTTTGAAGACCAGCAACAATATGAACTAATTCTTTCATTCCATCAGGAACTTTCATAGTTCTATTATATGCACCCTTTTGTTTGTCCCTTGTTTTAATGGAACCTGTAGAAGATTTGCATTTCTGTCATGTTTAATTATAAATAAAAAATAAAAATTAATTATAAAAAGTTAATCAAATTTAACACTTCCTTTATTTAAATCAACTATTATTTTTCCATGTTCACCTAATTGCTGATATTGTGTGTAAAGTTCATTAATGCTCATTGGTAAATTCACTTGATAAAGCATAACGTTCAACTGTTGACGACTAAACCCACTGAAAATGAAAAGGTTGATAGATTTGATTTAATGTTTGTGCTTAATGCTTTGAAATATTGAACAGCCATGAAGAATGAACACTGAATGTGTCGACATTGAGTTAATAACTGATTAAAATATGATTTCTCATTTGTTATTAGTTTTGATTTCACTGCATCATCTAGAAAAATGAGTGAATGCAAAAATTCTCTATCAAAATTTGAAATAGAAAGTGTTTCAAATAATTCATCCCGTTGTTTATCAATAATTTTATCCTCTAATCCTTGCTTCTTGATTGTATTATATAATTCTTTATACATTAAAAAGTTTTTTAAATAATCTTCTGCTTCTTCTTGTGATAAATAAATAATTGGAATTTTGATTAAATGCTTTAAAGATTCAAATGTATCATCTGAAGGTGAACCTGAACGGTTGATATAAATTAACACATGTGAATAGGGGGAAGTGTTAGCAATAATGATAATTTGTTTTAATATCGTTAATGTTTTACCTTTATTTTGTTTACCAATTGCTGCAGTGATTGAATTTAAGTAACATTCAGAATATGGAATTTTCATTAATTTTTCCTTAGATAGAGCATTTCTATTATCACTCAATGCTTCATTAATCATATCATCTACGTATGTATTATATACTCCTGCTAATTCTTCATAAGGGGTGGATGAATTTAAATCCATTTAATCAAAAATAAATTTATAATTTTAAACATTTCTATTCATCAATATTTCATCATATGAACTTCTATACTGTGGTGGTGTACCTGTTGGATGATATTTCAAACCTTCATCCGGTGTCCATGTCCAAATGTAGTCCTAGTAAACCAAACCTGAGGAGGATTTGTCACCTTTGAACAGTAAGTGTCATTTTCACCCTGAATGATTGGATAAGCTTTCACTTGTACTGTAACTTGTGAGTTGAAAGTTTCTAATCCATCAAAGAATATACCCGCTCCATCACGTTGAACTGGAATAGTGCATAAGAATGAAGTTTGGTCTTTCCATGTTCTAGCTAATGGCGTGCCATCATCATTCAGTGGTCTAGTTAATGAGTCCTCGTATTCTTCTGTGCATTCATTCACTCCATCTAAATCAGAAGCTTGAAGCATACGTGTAAAGAATATGTCACCCACTGTGGTCATCGCTTGATCGGGGAAGTTTCTGGAATCTATAGTGACCTGAAGACCTCGAAGCATTGGATTTTCTAAAACTGTTCTTTGCATTGCATTCTTCGGAAATGCTAACACAACATCTGTAACATTATGAAGAGCGTATGAGAAATCTGAGCTAATACCTTCAGGAGTGATGCAACCTCCATTTAGTGAACGAACGTCAATATGTTGAGCTGGAATCATGAATGGATCTTCCTTACTGAATAAACGTGGTATTGCTTTAACTGATTCTTCAATTAAACCGTATCCTGGTGTAATGCATTTATCCTCTAAAACTTCCATCTTTGTGCATGAAATAATAACGTCATCAACTGTTGCGTCAGCAGATGTAGCGGCTAAGCTTGTAATTAATTTGGCAGGAAGTCCGATTTGTTGGAATTTGCGATCATATTTATAAACATGATTCATAATCTTTTCATAATTTTCATCAGTTATCTTTTCATAAACGTAATTTTGTAAATCAGCAACTCTTAACGGGTCAACCTGACAAAATACTAAAGTATCCCTGAAAACATAATATTTAAGAATGATATCACCAAATGATTTAGGATAATCATCGAACGCCTGAAATGCTAACAAATCATTTACCGGAATAATCATATCAAAAGTGACATCAACTTCTTCATTTGCTTTCTTGAAAACTTCTGAAGGGTCAATATATTTACCACATACTGAGTTATCATATTTTTGAACATTATTATATAACGAATGAACAAACTTTTTAACTTTCCTTTCTGATTTTGGTTTATATGTTGCAAATGCGAAAGATTCACGGGCGCAATCCATCTGAAGATAACCGGCATCACCTCTTTCGGTTTCTACTTCTAATTGTTTAAAGCTTTGATTTGATGATTTGTAACCAACGAATAAACGCATGCATTTAAAAGCGGCATCACATGTGAAAGCTTTATTTGAAACTAGAGTTGCTTTAACTTTGCGTTTAATATATGTGTCACCTAATTGTTCACATCATGAGCCGGATTTGTAATTCTTAAATGAGTTTGTTTATCATCAAAATATGGAGCATCAGAGTCATAGCATGAACTTTCAAGTTCTCTATAATATCTTCTACCGTCATTCTTTGCGAATATTTCATTTATCTTTTCGAATGAATGAAACACATTTCCATTAATCGGTTTAGTGTTTGGCACCAAATAGTTAGTCGTCATTTATTATATAAATAAAAAATCAAAATTAAAAGATGAAAATGAATTTTTAATTTTAATGAAATAATCAACTATGGCGGCAGGATTCTTTAAGAAACTGTGGGATAAAGTAAAAAGAGGAGCGAGTAAAGTTTGGGAAACAATGAAGAAAGGAGCAAATTGGATATTTAAGAATAAAGAAGCAATTAGTGACGTTGCTGAATCAATAACGCCAAAAGCTGCCCCAATAAGAGAAATATTAAATAAAGGAGAAAAAGTTTATCAAAGACTTCAACCGATACTAAGATAAAAATAATATTTATTTATTTTTCCACTATCTACCTCCTATTTTATTAAGTATTCCTTCAGCTATTCCACCAATTGCGTTACCTGCTTGTGCTCCCATCGCCGGATTACCTGCTTTAGTACCTAATACCCCACCTATGATAGTTCCTGCCGTTTTCGCTACTGGTGCCAAAAAGTTTGCAACGGGTTTAATAATTTTTATGAACCCAACCCGCAGCTTTCTTAATTCCATCCCATAATTTTTTAAAGAATCCTGCCGCCATTTCTGATTTAATATTAATTAAAAAATATATTTCATCACTTATATTCTAATTTTTATTTAATGATAAATGAAACCGATTTTAAAAATAAATGAAACAGAGAAGGAAGAAATAAATGAAAGTGAAAATGTTCAACAAAAAATAAACGTTGTTAAACCCACCACTGAAATAAAAATTTTTTCATCTGTTGAAGAATTTAATGGCTATTATGCTAATAATAAAAAAATATTTGAAGAATTGACAACGTGTAAATTGAATAAAATGTTTAAAGTTGATGGATTCAAAATTTCAAAAATAAAAGGAGTGGTTAGTTTGAAATTTATTCCTCAATCAAGAATCACCTCATTAATGAAAATTGATGATTTAACAAAAAGAATAGAAGAGATTGAAGAAAGAATGAATCAAATAATTGATTTCATAAATTCAAACAATCATTAGTTTCTTAAAGTTCTATGTTGAACTCATCAAATTTCTTTTTAAAGTTTATTTTTTTATGTATGGGCTGAGTGTAAATGTCTTACAATTTTGAAAATTTTTTAAACCTTGATTTATTCAAAAACGTAAGAATAAAAACCGTAAGAATCATACATTTTTTACTTCATATGTTAAAAAAAATGATACAAAATCGCTCGATATTGTATGAATTCTTACGTTTACAAAAAAAGTCACACAACCCTTCCACATATACTACTATAAAAAAAAGAATATGTTTTAATCGCATTGTCTCATAAATCAATAAGATGTGATTGAAATGTATCAAGATTGCAAAATTACACTGTCGTTTTCTTGATGATTTAAATTTAATTTGTGAAAAAAATAAGAATATAGAAGGTATGATTGTGAATATAACGGAAATAGAGCATATTAAGACATAACACAAATATATTGACTTTCATAAGTAATTCGTTCATAATGAAAATAGTTTGAAGCATATTTGGAATACAAATATATATTTAAATTTTGACTAAATAATTGAAATATATCGTAGTATAACCGCTAAAATGGGCTTGTTTTTGGTGTCTGCTCAAGTTCGAATGGCGATCAACTTTTTTTTTGATTATTGTTATTTTTTCCTATAGAATAACGAGAATTTCACAATCGTATTACTCTCTGCTTATTAAAGTAATAAAATATACATTTTTAAAGATATTCAAGTTTTTAACAATAAATTGTCTATAATATACATCTGTACAATTATTATATAAATTTCATTATATGTGTTTAGTTCTTAGTTGATTTTTTTGGAAATATAAAATATTATTCCGAATAAAAAGTTTGTTTAAAAGCACACAGAACATAGAGTCATTACTTCATCATTAGAACTAATAGAAAACGTGAGTAGATTGTCTTCAATATGCTTGTAGAGCTTCAATTGTTTTTGGTAACAAATTCAACATTTTTAGACAAAAGTTTTGTATTTAACTACATATTTATCTATATAGTATTTTTACAGTTTCAAAAACAAATGTTTGATAGAATTCAAAAAATTCGATATTTGAACTTAAATTTCTATAATTAATTTTCAAATATATAAGCATTAGATTCTATGTATACTTTATTTTTACCAAATACATACTCCAAAAGATAATTTTTCCCTGCGAATATATAAATTCAAAGTTTTTTTTATGTATTTGTGTTGAAAAACATTTTGATTTTCACTGCAAAAGATATAATCTTTCATTATTCATAACTTGTAAATTTTATGAAAATATTAAAAATTACATGGGCTATAGCCCATGAAAAAGTTGAGTTAAAATGATATGATTAATTAAATAAAAGTAATACGTTTATATAGATAAACAAACAAAATAAAGCAATTTCTAATGGATAATGCAATCAGAAACGCATTGAAAGTATTCGATTGATTAGTTTTTTGAAATATAACATTAAATACTGCAAATCCTTCTTGATCAGCCGTATTCAAAAGATCTTCTATTTTTGCAAATGTGAAATGATTGCTTGAATCATTAATAAAAAAAAAAAAAAAAAAGGTAGTGGGGCCTCCAGGCACTTCGTGCCCTCTAGCCCCAAAGATGTTTAGTATGCAATGAAGTATAAAATGAGGTTTTTTTGGGTGTTGTCGGGCTTCCAGGCACTTCGTGCCTTCTAGCCCTTAAAATTTTTGAAAGTCGTTGCTGTTGACTTTTCGGTAGAGGACTCAAAATAGTATAACTATGTCCGGACAAGTAAGGGTCTATCGTCGCTACAGTAAAGTTACGGGCGTTCCAAGGAAGTATACTTTGAGAGACTCTTTAGAAACTTTAGACGTTGTACATAACCATCCATGTTTTTACTTTACATCCGATAAAAGTGGTTTGGAAACCGTTATGAGATGGTTAGAGGACATACATGACTGTGAGTTTTAGATACGATAAGATAGAATATGAGAGAGGTCCTATAAACCGGAGAAAGTGTCATATAAACATCTGTCAAAAGCCTCTTTTTTACTTCACTTAAAATGCCACGTAAGCTACGTAAGAATATACGTAAGAGGAAGAGAGCATTGAAACATCCAATAGTAAGACTAACACCACAACAACAGTTGCAACAACAAATGCTGAATGACCCCACCATGTTGCAACAAATGTCAAGCAACCCTATGCTTTTAAACCGAGTTCTTGGTGCACAGAGTGGAGGTTTAAGAGCGGCACTTTTAGCGAAAATGGCAGGCTATGGTGGAGCTGCAGACGGAACAGCCTATAACCCTCAAAGTCAAATGAATTTGAGTTCACTCAAAAATCAAATATCAGATGTCAAAAAGTCAAACATAGACATACAGAAGCAAATAAGTGAAAACGAAAAGAAACTAGAATATGACAGACACACAAAGAAACTCAATGAGTTAAACGTAGAGAAAAAGAAGAAAGAAGAACAACTGAAAGAACTAAGTACAGAGGAATATGCGAAAAAAGTGTCAGAAAAAGCAGCAGAAGTAGCAAAAATGGAACAAGATGTCATAAATTTGAAAAACCATACTACTCAATATAAAGTACTGAAAGATGAAGAGATAAAACAAAAAGCCCTGAAGACATATATGGATAGCGATGAGTATAAAAAAGAAGTTGAAGCAAATGTAAAGGCAGAAAAACTTTTACAGTTGCAAAACCAAACCGTACAGTATGAAAACTTAGCACAAGAAAGTAAAAATGACGACGCGGCTATGCAAAAGGCAATGAAAAGCGCAGAATATATAAAAGCTAACAATGACTGGTTAGATGCCCAAGCCAACGCCAAAGCAGCCCAGCTTATAGGGTCAATAAGGACAAAAATACAAGCGGATGAAGATAGTTCAAATGAAGCTTTAATGAATGCTGACTTTAAGAACGCCTTCGAAGCTCTTCATAGTAAGGTGAAACAAGTGAACGACTTCTCATCTGGAAAGAAACTGAAGTCTGAAGGTTTCGACAAAGAGTTAAAAGAAGTAGCACAAAATATGACGAAAATAACAGATGCAGCAACGAGACAGGCGGTTCAAAGTGCCTATGACGCCGTTAGAGCAACTGTTGTGGAAAGTCAAGAAAAAGAGTTACAACAGACCAAAACAGACCTAGTAAATGCTTTCTTAAAAACGAAAAGTCAGGTAGGACACTATGCTGCAGATGGAACATATGTGCCAGCTGGTGGAACTTATATACCAGCTGGTGGAACTTATATACTAGCTAGTGGAACCTATATACCACCAAACCCTCCAAGAGAAGCACCTGCACCAGGACTACCTAAAACATTTACATCGTCACATGGACACAGACACAGGCATGCACCAAAACCAGCACAACAACCACCTCCACAACCAGCACAGCAACCAACAGTTCAAAACCCTGCACAACAACCAGCACCACAACAACAACCAGCACAACAACCACCTCCACAACCAGCACAGCAACCAACAGTTCAAAACCCTGCACAACAACAACCACAAACAGAGCAAGGACATAAAAGAAGTAGAGAACAAGGAAACCAAGATTTCTTAAAAATGCTTAAAGAAGACTATGGTTACCCAGATACTCTTGACTTTAGTGACAGATATAAAGAAGCTATTAGAAAGTTCAAGGAAGGAAATACTGACCTGAACCTATTTAGCTTTATGGTTCAGCACCAAATGGGATATAATTTCAAACCTGGAAAATACAAGCTCGCTAAGGGATATGATTTAATAGCATATCATCCAAATGACATGACTGAATTTACTCCGAGATATTTGGTGTCAGAGATAAATGATAATTCAACTATCTTCATGAAACGCGTAAAAAATAGAGACGGAACGAAAGAAGAAAGGGTTATGAATGCGGATGACTTAAATAGGGAACTTGTTAAAAACGGTCTCGGAATATATGAAATGCCAGCAGATGAGGTACAAGAAACTCCACAGGAAGAAGTTCAGATACAACCAGACATGGAAGAAATAGTTCAGCAACAACAGCTAGAAGAGCCTGAAGGAAACGAACAAGTCCCTCCTTTGGAAACTAACTTCACAGAACTAGATGAAGATTTGGAACAGCCGAAAAATCTTGACCCTCAACAAGAGTATGAGGTGAATATGGAATCTTTCCAAGAGTCTAAAAAAAATTCGGCTGACATAGTAGAAGATATCGAAAATGTTTGCCGACATACAAAAGACTCCAACATCAGATGAAAATATTCAGCATAGAATGGAAGTACTGAAAGAAAATGTACGCAAATACAACAACCCTTTTTACTTACGAGCATTTAACGTTCAATCTTTGGATGAACTCGGTGAAAATAAAAGGTTAAATTTCAACAAAACATATAGAAATGAAACATTGTTTAAAGTTCATTCAGAACCTAACCAAGATGGAAACAAACCTACTTTTGTTTCTGCAGACTATGGAACTACAATGAGATGGGGTCATAAAGCTAATCCGGATAGGTGGTTCATAAACTTACAACCACAATTCCAAGAAGTTGTAGACGCAATGGAAGTGAATGGTGAACCAGATATAGCTGGTATTTTAAGCGCGGCTTTAATGCCATTGAAAGATATGAAACATGCAGATATTTGGACCAGTATGAAATGAACATGGCTGATGGAAATATAACACCTGACGTTCTAGAACATTTATCTCAAAGAACTAACACAGAACCATAGAGATGGTATATTTGGTGAAGAGTTTAGAAAGAAAGTTAGGGAGGGAGAAGGAAGAGAACCTATTGTACATGACCTTGCAAACGAAAGTTTACAAAATGTCATAAAAACTTACTTTGCAGACGATGAACTGAGAAGGGATGAATATTTAAGAAAACTCAAATGGACAGTACAAATGAAATGTTAGTATTGAAAAACATGTTCCTTGACAAAATAAAACCAACTACAGAAATAAACGACGCAAGACTGAAAGATTGGGTAAAAGCTTTCCCATTCACAAAAGATATTGTTGGTAACATGGAAAGAAAACCAGAATGGCTACAAAAACATATATTTGGAAACGAGCTTATTCCATATGGACAGGCACTGTTTGAAGAGCTTGAACCGGAAACTCAGGAAGAGTCATGCAAACAATACGCGAAGACTCAAATACAAACTATGACAAAATCTTTCTAGGATATAGGTTACCTGAGATGGGCGACCAGAGCCCAAAGGCAAAAAAGGACATGGGAAATTTACAACATACTAGGTGAACATGAGGCAAAGATGCAACAACTTGAAGCAGAGGGGAAGTTACCAAAAGCGACCAAAGAAGAAGAGAAGAGTAGAACAAAGTGAAAGTAGTGAAGAAGTAACTTCATCTAGTGAAAGTAGTGGCAATGAAGGAAAAAGAAGAGTTAAAAACTCAGTCAGGAAGAAAGTAAAGCTTGGTCCACGTGGGTTCTATTATGACACATAAATCCAAACTATTCTATATTTTTACACATATGAAATGTACGCCGCTCAGAATATAACGCCAACAGTTTTGGATGCCATGAATGGAAATGTTTCCGAATGGTATAACGAATGCGACAATGCCATTAGAAGGTCAGAAATAGTTCCTGGAACTTACGAATATACAACTGCTGTTTCTTATGGAAACGTAGGTGAGTTTGGTGAAGGTTCTTCAACAACAGTAGATATTGCTTGCGACAGGTTTCACATTATTTCTATTGACAACTCATTCTTATACGTGGAACAAGACATTGAAATAAAACCTTCTGCCAAGTTGTCTGACAAGAAAGGTTGCAATGGAATTTTCTATGTCGGATACCAATATGCTCCAGAAGTTTTCATGGGATATAAGATATATTCTAACTCTGACTTAGTTCAAACAGTAACATGGGCAAACTATGAATGGTTCGCTTTGAGAAACTCAGTACAACCACAAGCTAGAGAACAAACAGACCAGTATGCAACCATTGAGAAAAAGAAGACTTGACCCTAACGTTCCAGGAGTTTATGTTAACCTTTCTGGTTCAGATGGAACTGCTGCCACTAAAGTAAAACTGAAACTTAGAGTTCCTTTGTCATCTTTCCTCATCTTCAGGTTTTTAAGATACTTGCCAAACTGGGCAGGAAAAATTTCTATCGAACTTACTCCAAGCAAAAATAACTTAGTCATTGCACCAACACAAGACCCATTCACTCTTACTGTAGCTGGAACTGGTGGAGCCAAGTTTCTGTGACTTTTGCAAAGACAAAGTTGACTTAGACTTTGGTTTCTCAAACTTCAACACTTGAAGTAAACTATTATTTTCAATGCTGCTGGAACTGCTTGGGACCCAGTTAAGTTCACATGCGAAAAAATTGAATGCAAGAGAATAGAAAGCAGACTTGCAGTCTATATGTTGGACCCAGATATTTCAAATGCTTTAGCTGCCAAATATATTGCAGTTCCACTTATGTTCCCTATACACCAAATATCTGTCAAAGATTTGCAGGTGAAGTTGGAAACCAAAATCCAGGAGCCGCAGGTGCAAGAACAGATATTGCTTTAACAACTGCAATGAAACATGCAGATACTATGTTTGTACTGTTCAGACGAACTATAAATGACTATTCTTGTTTCTACAACCCCGGTATTAAATATCATATAAACATAGATGGCAAATTATATCCAAGAGAAGAATATTCCACAGTTGAAGATATGAGGTCATACAACTTGACATTAGATCTATGAACTTTAACAACAACTTCACAACAACCATTAACCCTGAAATGCAAAGTTCTATTATGCCATATGTGAAAGTATGGACTCATACAGGAGGTCAAAAAACTCAATATACAAATAGAGACCGTTCAAACTTTTGGCTTGGCATTCCATTTGCTGACTCAGAAGACTTTATGGGTGGTATTTCAACTGTTGGTACAGTTCAAATACAATATACTGGTGACAGAGACGGTCCAGATGAATTGAAAGCAAAGAAGTTTACAAAACCAATAGCACTTTTCACGGAAGATGCTCTTTTGAAAATTCGTTCGATGAAACCTGCTGGAGCTCCTCAGATTGGCATAACGACAGCTTCCATCGAGCAGATTTTGGCAGCAGGTCAGTAAGTTGTTCTTGAACTGACTTCTCTCCGTCAAATATTGACAGTACGCCAGTTTTGACATAAAATTGTAAGATAAACTTACCTTTAGAAATATCTGTAAGTTTTGAAGTTATATTTTTGTCAACGTCAAGAACTTTCACCATTTCAGTTATACCAACTTTCTTTGCTTTATGAAAATATTTTGGTTCAGCAAAGACTGCTATTCTATAACATTTTCCATTGTTTGTGTAAAGAACTACTCTGTCAATGTATTTGTACTGTTTGTGTGTGTAAACTTTGTTCTGCTTCAATTCGAAGAGATACTCGAATACGTCCATCTTTTTATTCTAAGTAAAATGTCATTTCCGAAAAATAGAAGCGTAAGTGTTTCAAAAGGTTTAATGGCGGTGGCAGATGTGAAGTTAAATTCACCAACTCAAACAAACACTCAAAGTGTTGTTGTCAATGTCAAAGACAGAGATGTTGAAGTGGGGAAACCATACGAAGACGAAGATGGTATAACAATTGTTCCTGTAAAAGAACAACCAACATACCCTGAAGTTAGCAGAGAGTTAAGTTCTGTTGCAGATATTCGAAACGACTACCAACAACTTAAAGACAAACTTAAAACTCAGGAGAAGATTTGTCAAGCTTTAGGTATAATGTTAAACTTGGTCGAACACAACCCTGTAAAAGTGAACTCATATGTCATTGCACCTCATGAAGTTTTGAAAGAACTATTGAAACTTTTGACAGAGGCAGACGATATAAACATCAAAGAAATAGAACCCGACATTGCTTGCTGTGGTGTTTCATATAATATCATTGACAAGATATACGTTATGAAAGGAGGTGAAACGTTGAACTTAAAATATAGTTTCCCAGACGTCATAAAAATATTTGACGACCACAACATTTCATTAAAATTTAGTTGCTAAGTAAATGGCAGAAGACATAGTGGTTTATACTATTACGACTAAAAACCCTGAGTCATATAATTCTATAACAACAAACTTACAAAGTCCTCAAGGACGATATTGTAAACTAACCTTAAACACAATGACGACTAAAGCCTGTTTTGCTCTTTTGACACCAGAAGACTTTTGTTGTGAATGGTAAAAAATACTTCTTTGAAGATACTTACTCAGATATACCACCAACAGGTTTTGTTGACTTATTTAATACTTTAAGGACGGATGTAACATGTGCTGCAACTAGAGCAGGTTTCATTATGTTTGGATGTCCGACTGAGTTTACTATAAACGATATGAGCTATAATACAAAACTTATATCTGGTTTTTACTACCAACAGTTTCCTATAACAGGAAAAGGTGTCATACAAGGTCTATCTATTCCATTGACTTTAAGTACACCTATTTTATATATTGTTTCAAACTTAGGTTCAAAGTGCTATTCGAATGTCGACAGAAACTACTATGACCAAAAGATACTCATGCGTATAAACAACACATTCTCTGCTGGTTTGCCTATTGTTCATTCGAATGCAGAGTTTTCAGCTTTAGTAAACTCAAACACTTTAGCAAACATAAACTTAACCTTAGTCGACGCAAACTTTGTTCCTGTAAAACTTTTATGTCCTATGTATTTGTCAATGACGGCAGAAAGTTTCGAATTGGAAGATGCAACTGGTGAAAGTATTGTACTACAAGAACAACTTCAACAACAAATAGCTCAAGAACAACAAATGCAACAAATGGAACAAATGCAACAACAAAGTCAAGAATAAAAAAAATATATTTTTTTTATTTTTATAAAAATGTACAGAATAGATGTTTCAGATTTTTATGACTTCCAAGCCTTCAGAAATATGTGTCCATTTAGAGACTATAACAAAGCAGTCGAGAATTTGAAACGTTTAGTCATTTATGTCGACTCTGCCCCAGAATGTTATGTCATGAAAGAATGGGATGTTGTCTTTAACAAACCAAGAGCAACAATAGTTTCAGAACAAGAATGTAGACAGAAACTTAAGAAAATAAAAGTCGTACAAGTTGGTATGAAGATGTTAGATGCTTGGGATATCTTATTGTCAAAACTTGAAGATTTTCAGTTCGTGGTATAAAGTTTTATACACCTTCTCCAAACTTCTATTCTATCTTCACTGGATATAAATACGAACAAGTAGAATGGAAAGAAAATATTATAGAAGCTTGGTTAGACCATGTCAAAGAAATTATATGCAATGGAAACGAAAGAGTCTATGAGTATATCTTATGTTGGTTTGCAAACATCTTACAACATCCAAGTGCTAAAAATGAAACTGCTCTCATCATAATTGGAAAACAAGGAACTGGTAAGAACACTTTCTTTACAGATATCTTATGCAAACTGTTAGAAGGTTATTCGAATCCGAATATGACAAACTTAGAAAACATCTGCGGTAAATTTAACTCTTCAATAGAGAATATGAAACTTATAGTATGTAACGAACTTCAAAGTATAGATACAACAAAAGTTTTGAACTCAGATGCTTTGAAGAGTCTTATAACACACAAAGTTGGAGTTGTTGAAAGAAAATATAAAGACCAAAGAGTTTGTGAAAATGTTGCAAACTTCGTCATGGTTTCAAACAATGCTGTTCCGATGAAGTTAGAAAGTTCTGACAGAAGATATGTAGTTGTCAGAACGTCAGATTCTCATATGCAAGATACAGAATATTTTGACGACTTAGCAGAAACTTTGACATCTGACTTTTACAACCACTTTTCTCATATTTCATGACATTAGATATTTCTAACTTCAATCCAAGACAAATTCCACATACCGAAGAGAGACAAACATTGTTAGAAGCAAACAAGAGTGTATATGAACTGTTCATAGATGAAACTGACTTTGAGTGTTTAGATGAAAGGTCATTGTACGATTCGTATAAACAGTATTGTCAAGAGTATGGTTATATGACAGCGTCTAAACGAACATTCTTGGCAAATGTCAAAAGTCTTTTAGACGTACAGAATGGTGTATATACAAAGAAAAATTTTTCTGAGTAAATTTTAAAAAAAAATATTTTTTTTATCCGATAGAAAAGATGACGAAATTCATCTCAGTAAACAAGTACATGTCAGGACTTAAAGAAGAACTAGACCCATTCACATATTTGAATGTTTACTTCTACCATTTTGAAAAGTCTACATATGACAAAGTTTGGAACATCGAACCGGTTAAGTTTGCTATTGTGACTAAAAATGGTGCGAAATTTGAAGACTTAGACATAGAAGGTTTGTTAACAGTCAAAGAAAGTTTTGACAGAAGGTTTCAAACCTTAAAGAAGGCAAAGCATACAAACTTGTTATACCTTATGAACCAAAGAAAGCAGACGACTATGAATATTATGAGTCTAAGATAGTTGAAGTTCAAGGTAAATTGGGTAAAAAGATTTTAGAGTCTAAGCCGGTGTTTGCTCCTAAAGAGGAAGAGAACATTGACATTGACCCAGAAATGTTCTAAAAATAAAATTTTATTTTTACATGTCAAATTTCTTTTTCTCTGGCTCTAGTTCTTTCTTCTCTTCTTCTAGTTTCTTTTCTTTCTTTTCTCTCTTCTTCTTTTCTGGTGGAGTTATGTCAAACTTCTCAGAACCATATTTTTGTAAAAGTTCTTTGTCCTTTAATAGCTCTTCTATTCTGTTTTCTATTTCATCTTCAAGAACAGCGCATGTGTCTTCTTTGCATTCTAAGAAGTTTTGTTGGACTTCATCTCTCCAAGAGGCGTCATCTCTGTCAACAAGTCTGTCATTGACAAATTTTAAGACTGCTCTGCTTAATGTTTTATGGTTCTTGTCATATTCCCAGAAACAGAACTTTAGAACAAATTCACCTTTCTTGTTTACACTATGTAAGATTTTATGGTCGACAGATGTTTTGCTGTCGAAAAGCTTGTCTCGAATATAGATAGCGAAATCGCTAGACATTTTGTAAAAGATAAAAATTTTAATTTTTCTAAAAATATGTTAGAAAAAAAGTTTGCTGACATTGACAAAAAATTTGAGAATGTTTTAAATAAGAACAAGAGGAAGTTGGAAAATGCTCAGATAAAACCCATACATGACAAGTTCTTATTTGCTCAGAATGGTATAACAGGTCTAATTGCACCACCTGGGTCGGGTAAGACTTTCACTTATCTTAAAATGGCTGCACAACAAGAAGAACTAGATGAGAAGAACCCATTCTATGAGTTAGTAGTCATTTGTAGTACTTCAGGTCAATTTGACCAAACCGTCAATTCGTTCAAAGATATTATAAAGAAGTCAAAACTAGTATGTATAAAAGACTCTGAGTTGTTAGATTGGATAAAGAAGTACCAAAGAAGAGTTTTGAAGTACAATGCTATAAATGAGTATGTCAATTCGAAGTTTAAAGACCCAAATGAGGAAATGCAGAGAATATTAGAGAAGAAACACTTCAGAAACAAACAGAAAGAGATAGAATACATTTCGAAGAAATTGCAATCTTACGATTGGAAGACTTACCCTCATAGATGTCTTCTTATCTTAGATGACTTTGCTTCTCATCCTTTGTTAAAGAATAGAGAACAAGACATGTGTCGAATTCTTAAGAAGCTCAGACACTTTAACATCTCTGTTGTCATTTGTGTACAGACAGCCAAGAGTTTAAGTAAGGATGTAAAGAGAATACTTACTGATATTGTACTTTTCCCCGGATTGTCCGAAGACGATTTCATGGAACTTATGAAAGAGTCCATGGCAGGTAAGTTTGACAGACATGAACTATGGAGAAGTACAAAGTCATACAAGACCCTCATACTTCTTTCAGAATTCATATCTACGCGAACAAAGTTCAAATTGTAAAAAGTCAAGCGTAAAAAATGTAAGTGTTGAGTCTTAGTCTGTTGTGGTGCTGGGGCTTTCGGTTCTTCTGGCTTTGGAATGGACTCGGTTGGTGGTACGTCGGACATTCGTTTGTGTCCTGTCGGAAGGAAGAACTCGGAATGCCAGAAGGAAGAACTTTTCCTGTTGGAAGGAAGGACTTTTCCTGTCGGAAAGAAAAACTTTTCCTGTTGGAAAGAAAAACTTTTCCTGTCGGAAAGAAAAACTTTTCCTGTCGGAAAGAAAAATTTTTCCTGTTGGAAAGAAAAACTTTTCCTGAAGGTCGGCCAAAAAGTTCTCAATTTTCGAAAATTTGAATGGTTTACGGACGGACAACAGAAAAAATTTTTCCTGTCGGAAAGAAAAACTTTTCCTGTCGGAAAGAAAAATTTTTCCTGCTGGAAGGAAGGACTTTTCCTGTTGGAAAGAAAAACTTTTCCTGTCGGAAAGAAGGACTTTTCCTGTTGGAAAGAAAAACTTTTCCTGTTGGAAAGAAAAACTTTTCCTGTTGGAAAGAAAAACTTTTCCTGTTGGAAGGAAGGACTCGGAATGTCGGAAGGAAGGACTCGGAATGCCAGAAGGACTCGGACAAGACAATTTACCTTATAGAGCTACCTGAGCCATCTTTGGTGTCAAGCTTGAAAAATAAACGCTTTACATGTATTTTTCAGCAACTTCGTCAAATAATTTTATAGCACTATCTATCTCATCTACTTCAAACGTTTCTTTACCTTTCGTGGAGCACCATACCTTTTCTCAAAAACTTCAAGCAGTTCTGTTTCAGCAGCTCTCATATCATTTACAAACACAACCTTAACTCTATTGACTGTACTGTCATATCTTTTAGTTATATTAAATGTTCTTCCTATCTTATATCTCTTTGTATTGAAGTCCTTCGGTTTCTGAACGATATAAAGTAAGCCTTCACTGCAACGTTCAGTATCGAATGAACCATATGTTATGAAATTATATCCAACAACTGGGTCAATCCAGAACAAAACTAGTGGTATAAGACTTTTGTCTATAAGATATGCTGTAGTTCCATGAAATCTTACCGATATCAAAAGCTCAGGATTTCTTGTCAAAATTTTCTGACTAGAAGCATTTCTAACCCAGTCCTTTGCTCTCTTTCCAGATGGTGTTAAAATGTCTGACAAAGAATATTTCTTGTATTTCTTTGAGTATCTTACGTTTAAATCACCTATTCTAACCACTTTGGTCTCATTGTCTATCTTTTTAACTGTTTCAAACTCTGTGTTTGTCATTTCCTGTTCTTACATACAAAATAAAAAAAAATATTTTAAAAAAACTAGCGTTATTTTTTTATTTTTTCTATCTTGAGGAAATTCATGATTTCAGGGATTTTTTTTACGATTTTCATGTGTTTTAGACGACCCCTGTAAAAGTCGGGGTCGCAATTTTTTACGATTTTCATAAGCGTTTTATGCAAGGCCGAAAAAAGTCGGTCTAGAGAAATTTCACGATTTTCATGAGTTTTAGGCGACTACGGTTTTTAACGTACTCGCAATTTTTCACGATTTTCATGAGTTTTTTTACGATTTTCATGAGTTTTAGGCGACCCTCGGTTTTCCGCGGGTCGCAATTTTTCACGATTTTCATAAGCGTTTTACATGGTAAACGTCATTTTTTTTACGAAGTGCAAAAGTTCTCTTCGTAAAAATTTCACGATTTTCATAAGCGTTTTACATGGTAAACGTCATTTTTTTTACGAAGTGTTAAAGTTCACTTCGTCAAAAAAATACAGTTATATCATGAAATTTGGTCATTTTTTCCAGCAAAAATATATTTTAGGTGAGACCATGTGCCTATGTGCCTCGGTCAAATGAACTTCTCTTAAAATTACTGACAACATGACATTTTGACAACAACACAGGAAATAGACTTCTTCGTATATGTTTTGTTGAGATTTCATCGTCAATGAGCGTAAATCAGACAAAAATGAGTTTTGGTTGAAAAAACAGGTGGAGCCACTTTTGGCTCGACCTCAAAACAAGCATTTTGTGAAGAATATACCAACCCGCGGAATTCCGGCGGTTGCTTTTTTTATACAAAATTCAAGAGTTTTGCGTGTTTTCTACGATGTTGTCAAAATGTTTTGTTGAGACTTCTTCGTCAATGAGTGTAAATCAGGCAAAAATATATTTTAGGTGAAGAGGTGAGATCTCACCTGTTTTCTCACCTCTTTTCTCACCCCATATGTCCTTACTGAAAAAGTATGTGTTCCATATGTCATTTTACTCAGAATTCAATAAAAATATATTTTAGGTGAAGAGGTGAGATCTCACCTGTTTTCTCACCTCTTTTTTCACCTCTTTTTCACAAGCGTTTTACATGAATTGTACGATGTATATTTGAAATCCTAAACAGTTTTGTAGCTTCGATTTCCTCTGTCAGTACATCGAATGTTTTAACAATGCCGAAAGTTTCTTTATATTTCTTCTTGACATCTGAAAGAAGGAAATCGTCAGCAGTTGGATAGTTTTTGTTCAGAAATGCTAACATGTCCATTTTATCTTCTGCTGGTTTCTCTGCTTCTTTCTTTAAGTCAGCATAGTCGTTTCGCATACGTTCTATCTCTTTGACGGAGTAGTTATATTTCCTCATTGCTGCTTTACATTTTGAACATTGTGGGTTCATTTTTTGCGTTATATTCTGAAACCTTACCTGCAAGTATGACTAAGGCGTCAATGGTTTTCTTTAACTCAAAAGTTGCGGGTTTTATCTGTTGGTTCCATACCTTACCTCTTCTATCTTCATCTCTTATCTGCCATACACATTCAGCAACTAACGAAACAAAGTTGTCGTAGGTCTTTAACTCCCCAGATTTATATATGTCAGAGATGTTCTTATATAACATGTCGCAGTCTTTGTCCATGACTTTGTGGTTGCAATGAAATCCAAGAAACTCATAGTTTATCTTTCGTATGAACTTCTTGGTTTCAACTGAGTCAGTTGCTTTGACTTCTATTTCATCGAATTCTGGAATAGTGAGCTTTTGTTGTTGGATTTCAGGAAGTTTAGGTAGATGGTCAATAATATCCTGCATTTCATAAAATATTCTTCATTTGTTTCATCTTTTGCAGTGCAATCTAAATCTCCTTGGAGAAGTTCTTGCTTTATCTTCTGGATTGTTGTTTCGAAAGTATATGAAGAAGGAATGAAGCTTTTCATCTCTACTAACATAGATGTTGGGTTCATGACTAACGAGTTTGGTGCTGTTGTTGCTAACATGTTCTTACAATAAAAATAAAAAATATTTTTTTTTAAAAACTAACTTTATTTTTTATTTCGGGAAAATTCATGAAAATTCAACGGGTGAAAAAACAGGTGAAAAAACGGGTGAGATCTCACCTCTTCACCTAAAATATATTTTTGCCGAGTTCAGCAACAAATTCAAGAGTTTTGTGTGTTTTCTACGGTGGTAGAAATGAGGGTGAAAAAACAGGTGAGAAAACGGGTGAGATCTCACCACTTCACCTAAAATATATTTTTGTCGAAAAAAATGGTTCATTTACTCACAATATTTTTGTACAAAACGACCCCAAACCTTTAACCTCTCTTCTGCAGCTTCTAATGCTATCTTAGCGAGTTCATATTCTCTAAATTCTCTCTTTAAATCTTCTTGTTCCCATTGGTCTAGTTCGTATGGAGAGTCTCTATAACCAGAACATATCTCACGTTCATGTTCTATTTGTTTAAGCACATTTTTTCTAACTTCTTGTTCGAACAAAGGTTTTGCATTCTCTACTGTATCTTCAAGTTCTTCTTCATCTAATTTCTCATGAACTTTCTTGTCTATGGAGTCCAGAATTTTTCCAACTGCTATGCAATATTTTGGAGAAGCCCACATTGCTATATAGTTTACAAGTCTTGGGTCTACATACGTTCCTCTAACCTGTTTGATTTCATCAGGAATTCCTGCATGAACCTTGTATAAAAAGCAACCGTCGGAATTCCGGCGGTTGGTATATTCTTCACAAAATGCCGTATAATACTCTTCCCAGGACTTATTTTCCAACAACTTTCTAAAGTCTTTCCTAAACTGCTGACACATATTTGTTACA